TCAAGGCACACAGCAAGCCTATGTCATCGCTCTTTGGTATTGGGGTTCAACTTTGACTAAAGCTACCAACGCGGGGATTATGGATGTGCAGGGCAGCATCACCAACACCTGGAGGATGACGTGCGTATAACATTGAAATCTTCATCTCAAATGATCGAAGTCTTGCTAACCATTGCTATAGAGCAATATGTACCCCAATTACGCTCTTTTTGTGGGCAATTGGTCTCATCGTCTATTTCGGCTTGCCAAACTACTATCGCCAAACTCCCGGCAAAATGCCATCGTTTTATAAATCCGTCTTTCGACGCAAGATTGTACTTTGGAACTGGGTGGTTGTCATTCTCCAGAACTTCTTTTTGAGTGCCCCATATGGTCGAAATTGGAATTGTGAGTCTCTAGTTTATACAGACCCCCCACCATCTCTCCCTTCCTATGCCTTGGGTTGCACTAATGGTCACCACAGTCCTGTGGATTTCCCAGCACGCCAGCTCGTGGCAAATCCTACTTCTCTGCGTTGCATTCTTTGGCTTTGCTTGGATAGCGGTTCTCTTCCTGCTAGCTAGACTATCCAAGTCCCATAGTTGGATCCTCCCAGTTCTCGCATGTGGTCTGGGTGCTCCACGTTGGGCCCAAATCTGGTGGGGCACATCTGGATCCGGACTGTTCCTCCCCTGGGCTGGAAGTTATACCTCGGGGGCTCTTGTATCCCGCAGCCTTTGGCTCTGGCTCGGGATCTTGGATGCATTACAAGGTCTCGGGTTTGGTATGATTCTGCTGCAAACACTGACACGTATGCATATCTGCTTCACCCTTCTGGTGTCCCAGGTCCTGGGCTCCATCGCGACTATCTGTGCAAGAGCCTTTGCACCAAACAACATTGGACCAGGGCCTATCTCGCCAGATATCACGGCTGGTGCGGGTGCGTTAGGTAACGCTTGGTTTTGGGTTGCTCTTTTATTGCAGCTCTCGATCTGGTATGTTCTCCCCCCATAAGAAAGCTATTGTGAGCATCGTCTGACGTGTAAACTTCAGCGGTGGATTTCTTCTTTTCTTCAGAAGGGAGCAATTATCGAAGCCCTGAACAAATGCGGGTACGTTTTGTTGGAAGTGGGTGGAATGGATTCAAGTTATGCAGTGTCTTTTCAATTTTTCCTTACATTGATGATATAACTGCCTGTTCGTTGTGGTGGCTCAAACAGAACCAGCCCAAAGTATTTAGTGTCTAATATAATGATATAATGTGAGTTGGCTTGGAAGTTGACAAGCAACCCGCCAGGTTATGACCACGCATAGACGTCGAGACCCACTTAGTTGGCCTACACTTCACTCTGAACACCTTAATAGTAGATCTTATTTGTGTTATAGGAGTCAATAGGTCCTTAGTACACGTAGGCTTAGGGAAGAGGACACGGAACTAGTTCGTTGGAAGACCCGAAGCATAATTGTGCCTATAGTATCAATTGATTTAGCCGTGAGTACAAGTTCACCGACATTGCAGCCTGCTGATGATGTTCGTCCCAGGAAAGGGGAGAGTAATGGTTAAGATATTCCCCTTATACGCGTACGTGACGAACGGAATAAAATAGAATGTGGAGGAATACGAAAATTTATTATATAGAACTACAGATCCATGATCATAATTCATTCTCGTTGAAATTCGTAGGCTACCTAAATTATAAAATAGCCCATGATTAACACTGGGCAAAACAAAAGACAAATAGTAGCCGCAACAAGTAGGGGAATATGATTCGGAAATCCAAATGTGACTCAAAAAATAAACTGCGGCAGTGACCAAACCCAGCCTCTTGACAAACACAAACAACTTTTACCACTCGAGAGGCTCGTTCTTCACATCACCACGGTTCGTCTTGGGAACAGGAGCGGCCTCGACCATAGTCGCGCCACGGCGGTCACGGCGAAGGTAGGCACTGCCATCCAACCAGGGAGTATCAAGGGTACGCTTGGACTCGAAACTGCGGATCTTAGACTCCATCTGGAGAGTAAGACCAATATCATCCAGGCCGTTGATAAGGCAGTGCTTGCGGAAAGCTTCGACCTCAAAGCCAGTGATCTTGTTACCCTGAGCATCCTTGATCTCCTGGTTGACAAGGTCAACCTCGACCTCACGGCCGGCGCGGGCCTCATCGGCAATCTTCTGCAGAGCAACCTCATCAGAGACAACGACGGGCAGCATGCCGTTCTTGAAGGTGTTGTTGAAGAAGATGTCGGCGAAGGAGGGGGCGATGATGCACTTGATGCCGAAGTCGAGCAGAGCCCAGGGGGCGTGCTCGCGAGAGCTACCGCATCCGAAGTTGGGGCCGGTAACAACCAGGATCTTAGAGTCGCGGTAAATGCCCTGGTTCAGGACGAAATCGGGGTTCTCCTTGTCGTCGGTGTAACGGAGCTCATAGAACAGAGCGGTACCAAGACCGGTGCGCTTGATGGTCTTAAGGAATTGCTTAGGGATGATAGCATCGGTGTCGACGTTGGCGCGATCCAAAGGCGCGGCAATACCCTTCAGTGTGGTGAACTTGGGAAGACCGGTGCTCTTGCCACCGCCGCTAGCGAGGGCCGAGGAGTTAGTGTGGGGCTCGTTGTCGGCAGGGTGGTCCAGGACGCGGTCGAGTTCGTCCTCGGTCTCGGGGGATTCGAACACGGGCTGGACGTCGATCTTAGGCGAGGCTTTGCCGAGGACGGGGCTGGCGACGACGTGCTCACGAACATCAGCGAGCTTGCCGACAATGGCAGCAGTGGCAGCCATGGCGGGTGACATGAGGTGTGTACGACCCTGGGCACCCTGGCGACCCTCGAAGTTGCGGTTGGAGGTACTAGCGCAGCGCTCCTTGGGAGACAGGATATCCGGGTTCATACCCAGGCACATGGAGCAGCCAGCCTCACGCCATTCGAAACCGGCATCAGTGAAGACCTTGTCGAGACCCTCGGACTCAGCCTGCTCCTTGACGAGACCCGATCCAGGGACGATCATAGCACGCTTGATGTTGGAGGCAACCTTGCGGCCGTTGACCACCTTGGCCGCGGCACGCAAATCCTCGATACGGGCGTTGGTGCAAGATCCAATGAAGACCTTGTCAACCACAACATCCTTCATGGGTGTACCAGACACAAGACCCATATACTCGAGAGCCCGCTTGCAAGAAGCCTTGCGGTTCTCATCCTCGAAGTCATCGGGGCTGGGGACAACGCCAGTGATCGGGACCACGTCCTGGGGAGAGGTACCCCATGAGATGGTGGGAATGATATCCTTGCCATCAATGAAGACCTCGCTATCGTACTTGGCCCCAGCGTCAGACTTCAGGCTGGACCAGTAGCTGGTGGCCTTGTTCCACTCTGCGCTGCCGTACTTGGGAGCCAGAGGACGGCCCTTGAGGTATTCGAAGGTGATCTCGTCGGGTGCAATCATACCGGCACGCGCACCGCCCTCAATAGACATGTTGCACATTGACATACGGGCCTCCATGCTCAGTCCACGGATGACAGATCCGCAGAACTCAATAACAGCACCATTACCACCAGCAGTACCGATAACACCGATGATGTGGAGAACGACGTCCTTACTAGTGACGCCAGCAGGGAGCTCGCCATCAACCTGGATGCGCATGTTCTTGCTGCGGCGGGTAATGAGTGTCTGGGTTGCGAGGACGTGCTCGACTTCACTGGTTCCGATACCGAACGCGAGGGCACCGAAAGCACCGTGTGTGGAAGTGTGGCTGTCACCGCAGACGACAGTCGTGCCGGGCAGAGTGAAACCCTGCTCCGGGCCGATAATGTGGACAATACCCTGACGCTTGTCGCCCATACCGAAGTAGGTGAGCCCAAAGTCCTTCACGTTCTCCTCCAGGGTTGTGCATTGGAGACGCGAATCATTCTCCTTGATGAAGTCGGCGGCATTTTTGAAGTTTTTTCGTGAAGAGGTGGGAATGTTCTATCCGAAGAAAACAGGTTCAATAATTAGTCAGAGCTTCCAGTAAACATGGGATTTAACATACGTGATCAACTGTAGCCAGGGTGCAGTCCGGCCGGCGGACCTGGCGGCTGGCATTTTTGAGGCCCTCGAAGGCTTGGGGAGATGTAACCTCGTGAACAAGGTGTCGGTCAATGTAGATCAAGCAAGTGCCATCTTCTTGCTCATTGACGATGTGGTCTTGGAAGACCTTGTCATACAAGGTCTTGGGTCCTGACTCGGCAGAAGGCATGGTGGGGGGGATAGAAAGGATTGAAAGCAGCGGTGAATAGAGGATATGAAGGTACAATGTTTTGAGGATGAGAGAAAGGGGAGATAATAGGCGGGAGCTCCAATGAAGAGCAATATAATATATAGTAAAGTACCGAGACCTGGGGAACTGGAATTGGAATGACTGTTATATTTTTCTGCTCTGAAGCATCCGCGCGATGTCGCTGGAGAGCTTCTCGAGGGGCAATGCCGATTTCGGCCGGTCAGCGGCGAATGGTAGCAATTTTATTGGCCGAAGTGGCAACACAAGGGATGACCGATATCGGTCGGCGCTGGATGATCCAAAAAGGGGAACGCGGCTAACCTCGCTTGGTGGCGGACACTCGTAGACCCGCTCCGGACCAAGTAATGTAAATGCGCTGATTGGCTGTTACTTCCAAGGTTCCGCCTCCGATCGGCCCGCCATTTTTTGACTCAACGCTTATATTAGCACTGCGAACACGGCATGATGGCATAGTGGATATGGGGATCTGGGGAAACATCAAGTATACCCCTGATGTTATATTGGAAACGGAGAGGTATACATTGACATTCATCCGCTCTCTTACACCGGTGCTAAGTCATTCCATAATACAACCCCGGGGGGTATCAGACGCTTTCACATGTTCTTCGCAAAGAACTGCCATATTTTGAACTTGTTTCATGGTCTAATTTAATCTACCGAAAGTCAGATACCAAACGCCAATGCCCGTGTCTCCTGAAGCAAAAATTTCATAAAGTGTCGGAAGAATCCACGGAACCTCGTCGGCTACCGAGGCAAAGAGCCCAGATCAACCACGATCCTCTTGCCTGACACTGAACCACTGCGCAACGTCTCGAGCGCCGCATTAATACCCTCTAACCCACCCTCTGCATGGACAATCTCTGGCAATGTAAGATTCGTCGATTGCAGAAGATCTTCCAACCAGCACACCATAGCTTCACCCACCGCAGGAGCAGTATGGAAGAGCTTAATGGGCACAGTGTGATATTGTACCCCAGGTTCCTCTGTTTCGGAAGCCCGGTTAATCCAAGGAGATGGGCATGGCCATCGGGATTAAGAGCCTTTTCAAGCTGTGTTGCTGTGTCTCTTCCCACTATATCAATGGCATATCGCAGCTTGCCTCCAGTGACACCGCGAATAATTTCCACCGCACGATCAGGATCATGTCGATCGACTAGCAGATCTGCACCGGACTGCACAAGCTTAGCACCATGCCGTGCTGCATCCGCTACGCAAATCACCCGTAACCTGGCGAGTTTGGCCAATTGAAGAGTTATCAGACCCGTAGTCGTCGAGGCTGTAATAAGGATGTCAGTGGTCGGATCGTAGTATTGGAGGCATTGGGTATCTTACCTCCCCAGATAGCAACCCAATCTCCACGTTGTGGCTTTTCTGAGTCTAATAATGACGCGAAGCATTCTTCATGGATGTCGGTGGGTATATCATTTCGGTCAAGTCTTTTGATGATATCGGGCAAATTAGGACCAGGGGCTTGTGAGATGAGGGAGAAGTCTAGCCCAAACGAGACGCCCAAAGCGAGCACAGCGGCAACGAATGCGACTCCAACAGAAGCCGAAGCATGGATAGATGTTGAAGAAGGAATTCGGGCAGCATTGAAGTCATTAGCAATGGCGTATTCTTGGAATGCTGCTTTCCTAATATCCCGGTAATCTGTCGATGGAACCAGCACGACATCGCCTACACGAAGACGTGATGGCCCTTTGGGGACTTGTAATACAAGACCAGCCAGATCACGCCCGTTGATCCATGGGAGGCTGGGGATACCAAAGTTGAATGCCCTGATCGATTCATCGGTTAGCTGTTGGGTATAATTCGGGAGTGCTGATGTCCAGCTGTAGAATAGTAATACTCACGGTCCCTTCCAGTCGATAGGATTGAGGCCGATTGCGAGGACCTGCAAATCAAGAATTAGCACCTCGTGTTATACAAGATCCAGTCGGCGGGTGCATGTCATACATACCTTGACAAGAATCTCTCCCTCATGCAAAACAGAAGGAATAGCATGATCTTCTACTAATGCGTACTGTTCCCGGGCCCCCTTGAGAAGCAAGACTCTTTGCCTTGACTCCTCAGACCGTGGTGACGGGGGTTCACTCTCAGATCTTGACTCATTAGAGCAATCTGAGATAGACTGCGAAAACAGGTTCTGGTGGAAGGTAGTCGGGGTCTTCTGCAACACTTCGAGTTGGAGGCAAGTAGAGGTAGTCGACATGATGCTTGAAGGTAGTAATGGCATGACTTGAAGCAGGCTCACAGAGAAACGCCAATTCAACTAGGCTCTATCTATATTGCCCTTGGTACCAGTCTATACGATCTCTCGGACGAGAAGATAAAGCCAAAGCACGCCTCATTTTAGGGCGCGGGGCAGTGATACCAATCCCTCCCATAAGCACGTACCTAGGGCTGGAGCACCTCCACAAAACGCTTGGCCCTGGGGCTTCCTACCAAGATCAATGGGATAATTTCGTCTCACATTTACGCAATAAGAGCGTTTCCGTACTTCCGAGGCCTGTCCATAGTCATTACCCATTGCTCATCGCGGGCACGAATGGCGTGATAAACTGAAGACCGAGGGTCGATCAACGCTCTTATATTTGTCGAAAGATAGAGGGCTATGAGGATTAGAATGATCCAAGGGAAGTGATATAAATCTGCTTAGCTATATATACCGAATATTCCAATAGAAAATCGAATATTTTCTGCTCTCTTGAAATACGAAATGGAAATTTGACTCCCAAGTCCCAAAGTTCAAAATTCATCTCCAAATTGATGTGATCCCGGGTTGGGATGACGAAACTTGCTCCCCTAAACAGGATTTCAACACTCTGGGCCTGAATCACGAATATCTGGAAGTGATGATAATCGAAAATATGGATTAATTTGATTTTCTTGAATTATTAACCAACTAGAATTGTTCAATATTACAGATCCGGAAATATATATCTGTCATCAGATTTGCTATACAACATAGTGACTGTAAAACAAAGCACATCTTTTTATACAACATAGTGATTAGTACAACCTGAGCTCCGAATATTATTCGAACATAGAGAATATTCCGAATCTATTCCACATATATTGTATAGAATACAATTCTGGGGTTCCTAGCGTGTCTCCATGTTCCCATACATCTGATTCCTCAAAACCCCCCTTGATAATTAACAATCCGCTTGGTATTACATTCATTGACGAGCCTCTTTCTCAGTAGATCTGAGCATTTTAACCGTTTTTCAATTCGGGGTTGTAGGATTTGTGCCGCCTCCTGGAAGTTCCGTGCGAGCACGTAATTCCACCACAGAACGACAACATTAAGTGAGTCTCAACGCTAGATCCATCGGGGGCTAGGCAGGGAGTTTGAAAGACCACAAGAAAATCAATACTTTCTGATATTACCATTTTGGACAAATCGTTCGAGGCAGTACAGCCGACAACTTTGATATGGAGTATATAGATCTCGGGTGGGCACTCCGGCTATAAACCACCCCAACGCCGGTCAAAAATAATTCGACTCCCCAATAATCCACTCCCATTTATTATGACAAACTCCGAAAAAGACGTTGCGCCAAGTGACGAGTCGAACAGTGCGGATTCCTTCAATTCGCCGCTTGGTGGGCCACATAAAGGTGAGCTTGCAATATCTATTCTTGTTCAAAGTCGATGAAGCTGAATGTTACCCTGAAAGTCAAATGGTACCGTTCGACGTTTTACAATGCCTTTATTCTCGGCATTTGCAACTTTCTTGCCCCCGGAATTTGGGGCGCCATGAACTCTTTGGGTGGAGGAGGCGAAGAGGAACCCTATCTTGTCAACGCAGCGAACGCCTTGACCTTCGGGCTTATGGTAGTGTCTTGCTTCTTTGGTAGTGTTATCGTGCGATTTATCGGCATCAAATGGACACTTATCGTGGGAACAATGGGATACGCACCTTACGCAGCAGGGCTATATACAAACAACCGATTTGGTCAAGAATGGCTGGTTATCCTGGGCGCGGCACTTTGCGGCATGTCAGCAGGCATCTTTTGGATGGCAGAGGCAGCAATCGCACTTTCATATCCCGAGCCATACAACCAAGGACGTTTCTTGGGGTTCTGGCTCAGCTTCCGAGTTGGAGGACAAATACTCGGTGGTGTCATCAGTCTCGGTGTCAATGCTCATCGATCGACTTCAGGCTCTATCTCATACACTGTGTACCTGATTTTTATTGCGCTACAAGCACTTGGCCCTTTTGCTGGTCTGCTTTTGAACAATCCATCTCAGGTACAGCGAAAAGACGGAATCCCTGTTCAACTTCAGGTGGCGAATAGCATCGGATACGAGTTGAAGAGTATGTCGAAGCTTTGGATCAGTCGCAAATTCCTGTACATCATTCCATTTATTTGCCAGGCTGTTTATACAGAGGCGGTGATGTTTTCGTACGAAGGGTTGTGGTTCTCAGTACGGGCCAGAGCTCTCGGGTCATTCCTTTCCGGTGTGATTGCTTTGATAATCGGCAACCTTCTAGGAGCCTTCCTTGACACCAAGCGGATATCATTGAAAAAGCGAAGCCGATACGCATTTTTCTTAGTCGTCGGCTGGCAAGGCATGTGCTGGATCTGGGCTTCAGTGTTGACAACGGAGTTCAACAAGACAGACCCGATATATGACTGGACTGACCCAGGTTTTGGAAGAGCCTTCGTCCTCTTCCTGTTCTGGGTTGCTGGCTTCCAACTCAACTATATGTATCTGTAAGTTGATTCTCGCTGGGTGACGGTTCGGTTGAAATTATGCTGATTGATCAGGTTTTTCTTGGTGGGCAACCTTGCGGATGATCAAGAAGAGGTCGTCCGGATTGCAGGCTTGTTGCGTGGGACTGAATCCGCCGCTCAGTGTGTCAGCGTACGTACACCTCTCGACTCGCTTCTGTATAACATGAATACTAACGGGATATCTCCAGTATGGCCTAAGTAGCGTGAGCATCATGGCCGCGGTGGGTAGTATATACCTCAACTTCGGCCTGTGGGCTATCGCGATATTCCCTGCCTGGCTCATTGTTAAAGAGGTCGGAGAAGCCTTTGGGGATAAAAAGATTGCTAGAGAGACTCCTGGTTTGCGTGAGACCTTGGATCATGAGTGAATGGTTAGAGCAAGCGACTACCTAGGTAAATGTTGGCACAAATCTCTGAGAGAATTGGTCCGGTGCAAGGATATGATTTAATTTAAATTTGGGATAAATCCTAAATCCCCTTGTCCGTGTTGAAAAGAATATACATTGAAAAGGTTATGACTCTATGATTGGCTTGTGCCCAGGACTCTCGCAACCCAGGAGACTTCTAAAGCTATGCGATGAAACCGAATTCCCTGTTATCATGGTGGAACACGAGCAATGCGAGACGATGTCGTACGAACAAACCGATCATTCCGCAGACAGTTTGCACTGCAACCATGTGCCACGCCAGTTGGTCTTCTCGCATTGGACCCATCCACACCAGCCAAAGATTCAAGATAGTGAGATTACTTGTTTCAGTAATTCGACCATTTTCGTCTTGGGTGATCCGCACCAGTCTCAAAGTGTGTAATAGGCGCAATGCGGTATCAATTAAAGGTGACGGGGGACTCGTCCACTCTGTGACAGAAGCGTCCAGCAACCCAGTGGAAGCACTGAACTTTGGCAGTCGATGGCGAGGACAGGGAATGAGCTTGAAGAGCTGCGGGGTCGAGTACAGAAAATTGAAAATCTGCGGAATGAACAGTAGCAGCAGCGTTTTGCTGAAATGCCCAAGGATACCAACCACGGCAAACACCATTCCTGCGAAATAGCAGTACGTATCGCCCACGAACACCTTCGACGGATACCAGTTGTGGAAGAGAAGGGCTGCTGATACACCAATAAATGGAAGGAGGAAGTATATTGACAACAAGTGCGAGTCGGTGGCAGGGTGTGGGTATGGTGTCATAGGTGCAAGGTACATCGCATCATTGAATAGCAATTGGATCGCAATCACCAGTGACTGAGCGACCTCGATACCGTTAATGCCTGCCAACATGTTGATTGCATTTGGACAGAAGATTGACACCGCTGCCATGTACATGTAGTACAGCCATCCAAGATCAACAATGTCACCTAGGTAGGGCTGCAGCGGCACCGGCACAACAACTTGGGTGACGCCAAAGTCAACAAAGTACACAATGAGCATCGGAATTGCGGAGAAAGCAGGGATCAGGACTTTGTGCCTCCAGCGAATGTCGAATAGGTCATCACCGATCCCGAGAATCACGACTGACTGCAAAGACAAAAGACCAGAAAGGTAAGAGGCAAGCTATCCAATTGTACGTTAGCTTGAGGCCAGCCTCAGCAAATATAAAATCAGAACCCACCTTTCCGTGCGGAAATCGATGAAGGAATCGGCCGTTCTCAATATGTTGCGATTCAATCACGACGTCACGGTTTCCTCCGCCCGATGTGGCTGCGACAATATCCTTGTAGAAGGCAAACGGAATAAACATAATGAGCGACATCAGATATACAACTGCGCAGACAGCGCCCATGGTTTCAGGTCTAGACCCAAATATTAGTACATGCTATGATCACAAGTTCAAGAGCCGTATACATACATCTCGGGCCGGCTAGGCTTTGCCATATCTTTTCCCTTAAGTCCTGCTTTGATAAATGCAGGCCCCAGCCACCGAATCAGGCTGAAAGCCACCGCAAATACTATGCCACATAGTGCAATTGAAGCCATTAAAGGCGCTCCATCACCTTGGAACGTGGCGTTGAGTATCGCTAAACCGGCCCCCACGAGGGCCAGTAGACGCCAAGTCTCCTTACGGGAGAGGGTGTTTGAGGTATGCATGGCGGACATGCGACTGAAGTGGCAGGAACAATGTCCCTTTTGCTGCAAAGAGAAATTCACAAGGAATTGACCTATGCAACAAGAGGAAAAGTCCACGTCGGCGACGCGCAATCTGTCTTCATTCTCCAAATACTCGATAAGCTTATCGTGTTCTGCCAGAGTTATCTGACCGCTAAATTTGGCGGTGAGTGTATATCCCGTCGACCAATAAAGGTAAGGCGACGTCAACCACCTGTCTCATACCTCATACGTGCAGGTGCATAAAATTTAAATCGTCATTGGCCCAGCTGTCTAATTCGTCAATCTCACAGCCCAGTCTACTTCGATGGGGGCAGTGGAGCGCCCCGAGATATCGGCCGGATTTGCCGACTTTGACGCTGGCCATCGGGATCTGGTCACTGTCACCAGATTCAACTTCTATGGCAACCGTATTGTCACCGCTTCTTCTGATCACCGCATGAAAGTTTGGGATCTCAAGGATGGCCAATGGCAACTGGTAGATACCTGGCGCGCCCACGATGCTGAGATACGCGATGTATGTCCCCAAACAAGCCAGGGCACAATTCTAAGGCTACCATTGCGGCTCATGTACTAAACTGCTATATCAGGCCACATGGAATGGTCCTTTCACGGGCCAACATATCGGCAGTGTTGGAGAGGACATGAAGTTGAAAATTTGGCAAGAAGATGTAACCCAACCACCAAACTCAGGACGGCGTTTCAAATCGGTCTTTCGCATGACCGCACCCCAAAGACATCCATTTGTATCACTCGACTTCCGCAACATTGACCTGGAGTCATGGCTGGCCGTGATAACACGCGATGGCTATCTCATGGTTATGGAACCCGTCAGCCCCGATAGCCTTGCAGATTGGCAGCCTGTTGACCAGTTCCGAGTGTGTACCGCCCCGGAACGCGGGGAGGAAACAAGTTTCAAAGTCCAGTTTCACCATGATCCTACCGATATCACTCACACTGTCTTACCGGATTCTGATCGGAAGAGCTTGTCTCTAGTTGTGGCTGCCATGGACACCGTCAAGGTCTATCGCACTGATGCAAACCGAAGATTCTACCATGCAATTGAACTGAATGGTCACAGTGGCCTTGTGAGAGACATTTCCTGGGCAAATGGTTCTGTTCGTGGTTACGATCTTATTGCGAGCGGCGGCAAGGATGGTCTGGTCCGCATCTTTGAAGTGTACACGATGCCAGCTGGCCAAGCACAGAACTCTAATGGCCGGAAGGCGGACCTTCGCATGCAGTCACAGTCCCAATCCCAGTCACAGTCACCATCACTCCGAGCGACATCACAGTCCGGGATCGGTTCTGCTCTCGCAAGCCGTGTGCCTGCGTCGGTGACTGATCGCCAAGCCACCGGGGAATCCCAATTTCGGCACTCGTTCAAACAGGTGGCTTGCATTGATACTAAGCACCTCGATGTGTGGCAGGTTCAATTCTCCTTTTCTGGTAAGTATTCCATCGTTGTATCTACAACCCTAGGCCTTTTTCGCTAATCCACTGTTAGGTGACTCGTTGATTTCCTCCGGGGACGATGGGGCAGTTCGGTTCTGGAAAAGGTCTTTGTCTGGCGAATGGCTCGAGTTCGCCGAAACAGACATGGCTTGTCAGTGATCTTGTCCTTCCAAGCACTGCGAGGCATGGAAAATTCTTGCAAAGTGCCCAATACTTGTCTCTTCCAACCCTCACCCCATTTATTTTCCTTCACAATCAATGATACCCTTTACATTTGATTTCTGCATACTCCTGTGTTCTCACTGTGTAGTATCTCTGGAACCAATTAGTCGAATTCAAGGTTGCTATTTCTGTTTTAATCTCGAACTATCCCCATTATACAAGGAAAGAACGATTTGGAGATGCTGTGGTTGGTTTCCTGACACCCTGACAATTTTCTTCTCAAGCCGAAACCACTCTCAACCTTCTATCCTCATCACCTATAATTACTTCATTATCTATATTCATTGTTAATTCACCATGGCTATCGGTCCTACCATTGGCACTGGCCTGTTCATCGGCGCTGGCCAGGCGCTCGCGGTTGGTGGACCCGCCTCGCTACTCCTGTCGTATATCATCCTATCCATTCTGACCTTTGCCATAACCACGAGCGTGGCTGAAGTATCCACTCACTTGCCATCGCCACATGGGACACTAGTCACCAATGGCTACAAGTACATGTCAAAAAGTCTGGCATTTGCTTCAGCATACCTTCGCTGGTACACCCTCGCTTTGTTCGTCCCATACGAAATCACATCGGCGATGGTCAACCTTGGCCTGTGGAAGCCGGGTTCTACGATCGCAATCAGACTGGTTATCATCACGACCATCGTCGTTGGATGCAACTTCCTGCCGGAAAGAATCTTCAAGAGCTCCGAGCGATTGTTCACTGCGATCAAGATCGGCACAATGGCGACCCTCTTCGCCCTCTCTCTGGCTCTGGGTCTTGGAGGTGTGGATGCGCAGCCCTCGTGGGGATTCAAATACTGGAAACACCCAGGGGCCATGAACGAGTATCTAGTTCGAGGTGTATCGGGACGATTCCTGGCTTTCTTCCAATGTCTTCTCGACGGCTCCATCGCTTTCGCGTTTGCCCCCGAGCTGATTGTGCACCACGCGGAAATGCCAGCATCACTTATGCCGTCAATTGGTGAATCAGCGATTCTAAGCGCTGGCATCCCAGGTGTAGTCAAAGCTGACGTTTCTCAAACGGCATTTCCGTATATCCTGAGCTCCTTGGCCATGGGAGTTATGGCTCCTTTCAATGACACACGTCTGACAAACAACGGAACGGGCTCCGGGTTTTCTCCTTACCTGATCGGGCTCAAAGACGCAAAGATTCAAATTGTACCTACGATCGCGATGGTCGCGATCCTGCTCTCCGCGGTGGCTTCTGGACGATCCTTTTTGTTTCTCTCTTCTCGCACACTTTGTGCAATGTCGGAGCTCGGCCATGCGCCCTCGGCATTTTCTACCCGCAACCGTGGACATGTTCCATATTTGGCCGTTGTGGCGTCCGCCTTGTTCTCCTGTCTTGCCTTTGTTTCAGTGAAAATCCCAAGTACGACCATGCACACCTATCTCCTTCGTCTGGTCACGAGCGCCTGTTTCATCTCCTCGCTTGTGTCATGCGCCATCTATATTCGCTTCAATCGACGACTCAGAGCGAAGGGAGTCGCTAAGCGGTATAGTTTCTCTGTACAGCCATTTGCCACATACTTCGGGATGGCCATTAGTACCCTACTGCTGCTGGGCGGCGGCTTGTGGGCAGCTCCCAAGGGAAACCTGACCGCCAGATTGATCATCGCATATGTCAATATCGGTGTATTCAGCCTGCTGTACTTATTCCGTCGATTCCAAGAGTTTGTGCCCGTTGCCGAAATTGAAAGGCAAATGGATATGGGTGGACTCAGCCATGGTGACCGTGCAGGACCAAGAGAGCCTCGGACACAGAAGACGAACCCGCATTGGGGGGGAAGTCGATGTAATCCCGGAGGCTTCTGGGGCGTTTGAATTGCGAGTCAGTCAGGCTACGTTCAGAGAGCAGTGAGTGTCAAGATAAGATGGAAATGGCGAGGACACGTGGATTGTATAAGAGACTCCAGGGCTAGGAGCCAGCATTGTTATTATTGATTACATATAATTGTTTGTTTCCAAGGCTGGAATTCAAGTTTTGTGTTTCTTGCGTAACCCAAGAAGAACCATTAAGGCGATTTGCAAATCATAGTACACGTCCACAAAGAGAACCTTTGAAAGAGGAGAAATACCCAATAATACAGTAACATTTCATAACATTTCATATATATTGTACCGAAACCGGGACAATTTGAATTCAAATGGGGTTTTGTTTGTATTATTTTTCTTTGTTCTTTTGTGGCAAAAGCCAAATCACAAATCATATCGGAATCTTTAACAACCTTGGAAGCCCCTTTAACCTCTTTGGAACCTTTCCAACTTCTTTTCGCTTCTCTCTTCTAATCACACTTGACAATATAATGTCTGAAACCTTGTCGTACAAGAACAGATGACCCTTTGCCCCTCTTTGAACCCAATATTCATCTTCTATCTCTCCCAAGCATTTTCCCGTGTTTTCCCCATGTTACTTTTTTACTTTGCTTCTTCAACTTTCTTATATTCCCCTGGATACTTTGTCCACCAAACCCCTTTCATTTGAACCTCTAATACTTCCCGTAGGTAGCCCATATCGCCTTTTTTTTTCCCCCTTGCATTCTCACGGATTTCTTTCCCGAGCCGAGTTCGTAGGAAATCCTTTGTCCTCCCTCAGGAAAATTCCCCGTTGTCTAAGAGGTTTTAATGGACCAGATCACAAAGCCTTCCAGCACATTCAAGATCTATACCATTCTTGGGATCTTGTTCGCTTTGCAGAGATATCTCGCTTTACTCCATGCCACGTCTGGCTTTCATTATAACCCGGTGGAAGGGTCAATAAGACTGCCCCCTCGATTCATATTCGACTGAGGGTAGATATATTCTTGATTTTTTTTTTTTTCTTTCATATCAGTTTCCTACTCACACCCATCTAGATGCTAACCCGCCCCATTGATTACCTCCAGGATGCCTAGGGCATCCAATGACATTCCCGTGACTTTCTCCACTACATTGAATGACACTAGCCCTAATATGGACTAGTGTATTCCATGGCTTGCTGAGAACAGTCGGTTTTGCAGATTACCAAATTACCATACCGGTAACCTTGGAATTTTCAAAACTGACAATCTCTCTCTGATCAAAATGAAACACCAGGAAAGAGAAGAGGCAGAGACCTCGCCCTTGGATGGCTGTTTTTGGGTCGAGTCATTCTTCCCTCGCTGAACTTCCCACCTGGGCAGGTCTCAACCTTGGAACTCCTTTCAAGCCCCCCTACGCACTTGGTCTCTCTGCCTACCCGGACGGCCCATTCTCTGCCTTAGGCCCCGTAGCCTCCTCCTTCCTCTGTCTCCAGTTCCTCAAACTCGCTCTCTTCTTTTTCCTCTCCTTTCCCCTACCCTCTTTTCTTCGCGCTTTTCTTCCTTTCTTCCTTCCTTTCTCTCCTTTTCAACCTTTCGCGCCAACCTCTTTTAATCTCTTCCCGATTATCGATTCTCCGACTTCTTTCCCCCCCTTTCGCTTCCTTGTGACCGCACCGTCTTCGACTTTCCAACGCGTCCCTTGTCCAACCAGACGAGATTGGAAAGCTACACGACTACGAGAAAAATTGATATGCGACTTGAACAGTGACAGCCTGGCTACGCCTCTGTCGAGAAAACATCATTTTGTCTTCGCCTGAGAGGGGGTTATCTGTCGGCGATGACAGATACCTCCTCCCTCGCCATCACGCACGCCACAACGGATTCCTATCCGGTCCACGCCCATCGCGGGTCCCCTGCCGCCATCGACGGCGCCGCCTCTGACTCCGGCGCACCCGATGAAGAACCTTACACCATCAAATGCATTTGCTCGTTCGATGAAGATGATGGCAACACGGTTTTCTGTGAAGGGTGCGAGACATGGCAGCACATTCTCTGCTACTATCCAGACAAGAAAGTACCAGATGTGCACAACTGTGTCGACTGCGAGCCACGGCCCCTTGACAATCGTCGTGCCCACGAACGACAACGGCAGCGGCGGATCCGGGAGAAAAGCGAGGACGGTGACCGGAAATCAAGACGATCTGGCCCCAAAACACAAAAGCGAAAGTCTAACGATGCCGAGGTGAATGCCTTTGGTCACGGACGACATGACTCGGGTTCCCGTGAGCAGCCACCGTCCAAGAAAGCAAAGGTGTCTCGCCGCCCATCAACTTCAATAGGTGGTATTTCGGTTCCAGGTCAGTCGGCTGAATCGCGAAATCGTCGATCCTCCACCTCGGTTGCGATGAGCCCGACAACCATCCCTGGCCCTCCCATCCCTCATTATTCGGACGAATTTCTCTCTCTTTACGACCGCGATGATCAATTTGTTGAATCGAAGAGCATTCTCAATTACGGCGTGGATTTCGTCAATGAAATTGTTGCATGGCTGAAGGACCCACAGATCTTGGCGCGAGTTACCGATGGACTCAGTGTTGAAGACTTCGCCAAACGGTCCGAAGAGGCTATGGATCGGTCTCGCTGGCCCTCGCTGACAACAGAGACCATCACGGACTCGACCATTGAGATCGGTGGTAAGCACCCAGTTCACAAGATCTTGAAAACACAGGATCCGGTTCGAAAGGACGATGTTGTCGGTGAAATCTTTGGCAAATTAGGTCACGTCAAGGATTACAAAAAGCTCGACAGCAACCGATGGGAGGAATTGGGGCACGCCATGCCTTTCGTGTTCTTCAACCGGCAGTTGAACTTGTACATCGACAGTCGTCAGGAAGGGAACGAGCTCCGGCACGTCAGGCGGTCATGTGAGGCCAACGTTAACTTGAAAATCTACATCACCAATGGCCGGCAGTACCATTTCTGTTTCGTTGCTAAAAGAGACATTCCTGCAAACTCGGAAATTACCACGATGTGGTATTTTGACGACTCTTTCTTTCCTTCCGACACGACAGTGAAGGAGGAGTTCAAGGACAGAGTGGTAGATCCGAAGGACGCCGCTATTTGCATTAGCACCACGTTGGCGAACTTCGGTGGTTGTGCTTGTGGAAATCCACAAACTTGCGTACTGAACAAGCTTGATCGACGCGCCAAGCCTCCTGCCAACAAACGCGCAAAGTCGAAGGTGAAGGGCAAGGGCAAGAAGCCAAAACCCCTCGGTATCCATGACATCGGTCACGCCGGCAGCGACACCAAACATTCTGACGAGCATGATCCCGCAGCCGACACCCGATCAAATTCTGGTTCCGCGCGTGGTAGACATACTGGCAGTCGCGATCTCAGCCCCACGGCTCTGCAGCTAACACTGCCGGAGCTCTCCAGTCGCGAAAGACGCAAGATAGCGGATGCCGAAAAGCAGTTCCAACAGCTAGAGCAGCTTAAAGCCGTTAATCCCAAAAGGAAAAAGCGTTCTACTGGCCATCCGAGACGGTCCACCTTGCAACAGTCTCAAGCTCAACTCAAACTGGTGATGGCTTCAAACCTTATCACGAGCCTGGCGCGACTCGATCCTCTGAGATGACAGGACAATCGCCCCAGCATCGAGTTGCCTATGTCGACGCTCAAACTGAACTTTACGCCGACGATGTTGAGCGCTCCTTCTTGCGTGCAGAACGTCTGAGGCGAGGATACAAACTCGACATGATCCATCCAACACTTATGCTTAAGATCCGGTGGTGCGCGGGACACCACATCGCAGAGGACTGGGCTCAGCGAAATGCATGGGAGGCCGGCGACTTGAGTGTGGTGCCATCTGGAGTCCTCCCCTGGTGGTATGGTTGGTTCCCGCTTCCAATCGACGACAGGTCTCATATCGAGTTGCTCCAGGAAGACTCAGACAGAATGGGAATACCTGCTGATCACGGTCCCCTTGCGATGCCCCCTCGGTGGTCTTTCCACCAGTCCAAGTATCCCCAGCCTGAATACAAGTACCATGGTATTGCGATCCGAGGAATGCATTATGACCTTCCAGCGCGACCTAGCCAAGGTGACGTTGATACCCGGAGCCCCGTTTCGTACAGACTGGAATCCTCGGCGTCTGGACCTAGCAGTGATTTGCTCAAGCCGGCAGTTCCGCCTTATTGGCCATCCACTGCAGCACATACCTTCAGGATGCCTGGGGCTGGCAATCGTGGTAATTTACATGTTTCCATGCCACCACCAAGGGCCTCGAATATCCCGTCAGCGCTTAGTCCCGGTTCTATGTCGACAGGGAGTCTCGCATCGCCTAGTTCTCACGACACAGCTTCCCCAATTTCTCTCATGCCAACTTCTGGTTCTGCACTCGCAGCCACACCCGCCAAGAAGAAACTCAGTCTTGGTGATTATCTGATTCGACGTGGCACTATGGCGACCGCTCCAACTTCAGAACCAGCTCCTCCTGCCCCGGCTCCTCCTCCTCCTCCTCCCCCAGCTCCTGCTCCTACTCCTGCTCCGCCTCCTGGTGATTCTCGTCTACGTACCCAACATTTTCTGGCCATCACAACGGTGTTTGGTGATAATCATGAACCTCCCCCACAAGACCGAACCTGGAGGTGACAAGAATGAGCCCTCAGACTCTCCAGATATCTCCATGGAGGACGCACCGGAGACGACACCCACCAAAAACCCGTCTATCCCTTCGTAATACGACCATCCGCGTGGCAGTAATGGTGGGCCTGTGATAAAAAGGAAAATTCCGCCGTGGATTTAACGTTTCTTACGACCCAAAATTTCTTTTCTCGTGTGATTTCATTTCGATACCTTACAGCGAGGCGGCACAGGCGTTCGGACTACTTTCAACCTCTTTTTTTTTCTCATTTTGTTTTCTGTGCCGGCTTCTTTTTTTCCCTCCGACTTTTCGGACTCTGGATGGCGTATGGCGTGGTTTGGAATTGGTTCTTGGTTATGGGAAATACCATTTGGGTCAGGGTCTTGAGAATTGTGCCTGCTTGAGATGCAGCACTTGATCTTTCACGATTTGTCCAGTCTAATCTTGGATATGTATGGCCTCTTTTTGAGATGCTAGATAGCTTGTATGAACAATGTAACTTTTCCTGCTTTATCACTTGGTATCTCTCGACTAGCGATGCTTTATTCTCTGATGTTCCTCTCTGTGTCAGATTTTGCTAATGTCAAACCCAGGTTAATACACTTTCTATTCAATCCGAAGTCAAGCTTCAATTTAATGCGAGATGATAGGCTGAAAGAAGCGCAGGATGACTCAAGCACCGCGAGGGGAAATGCCTCACGCGACCCCTCGTTTCCGCCCTTATATCTGTGATCTCAATCTACAACTCATATGCAATGCTTATGCCATTCTAAAGCAAAATGAACGATTCTAATCAAAGCATCGTGCTAAACGAGATTGATCCCGGATCTACAGAAGTATCTGAGATCGAGCAGCCCACACTTCCTCCAGCAGATGGAGGGAAAGCTGCATGGCTGATGTTAGCTTCATGCTGCTTCATTCAGATACCAGTCTGGGGTATGTTGTGACTGAGCAAAAGCTGCATATAAATACTAACGGAGCATTCTAGGGTTCTCCACTGTCTTTGGTGTCTTTCAAGAGTACTACTCAACACATGACGTCCTACAGGGGAGCAAGAATGACCTGGCAACTGTCGGAACTACTTCTACTGTATGCAGAAGAGTACGAGGTCTGGTTTAGTCAAGTCTAATGCTCTATCCTAGGGACTCCTTTATCTTCTCTCGCCTATCACTTTTACGCTTCTAACGAGATACCCGCATCTACAATACTATTGTGCACCGGCAGGCTTGGCCATCACCGTGGTAGGATCTCTGTTATCCTCATTCTCGGTGCAGGTGTGGCATTTGATTGGCACCCAGGGTGTCATGTGTGCCATTGGGAATGGGCTCTTGTTCAGTCCGTCTTCCTTGTACCTTGACCAGTGGTTCTTGCGCCGAAAGGGCCTTGCTCTTGGAACGATGTGGGCTGCAAAGAGTATTACTGGGGTTGCCTTGCCTTTCATTGCTAGTGCTTGTCTGAATAGGTTTGGCTCCAGTAATACACTGAGGGCGTGGACTGTCGTTACGGTATGAGCCAACTCCTTTCCTCTTATTTTGGTGTAGACGATGTGTCTTAGGTTTGATACCAAACCATCCGGCTGTCAATGATTTTCACGTTCTGAAGCCACAGCTGACAAAAGCTCCGAATTGTCAATCTAGCTGTTAACCACCCTCATGGCCTTACCATTCATGAAACCCCGTATCCCAGTATCGCCATCTGCTTCAGCCCGCCGCTTGGATCTGAGCTTCCTTAGACAAGCCACATTCTGGATGCTGCAAACGGGGAATATTATCCAGAGTTTTGGATATTTCTTGCCGACGACATTCCTCCCTTCTTATTCGACAACGACCGTCGGGCTATCCCAGAACACTGGTACAATGCTGGTCTCGTTATTTAACGCAACATCTATCTTTGGTGGGATAGCGCTGGGAGCACTCTGTGACCGCTTCTCCGTCACAAACATCATGCTGCTATCATCGATTGGCTCGGCATTATCAGTGCTTCTATTCTGGGGTATGGCATCGTCAGGGTCGGACTCGTCACACACAGCCATTGCCCTCCTTACTATCTTCTCCATCACATATGGCTTCTTTGCCGGTGGGTTTAGCTCCACCTGGTCTGGGGTGATTACTCAGATCAAGCGTGACTCATCGCCATCCCTGGACACTGGACTTGTGTTTGGTCTTCTTGCTGGTGGACGAGGGATTGGAAATGTTATCAGTGGGCCTCTTAGTGCGGTGCTGCTTCAGTCGGGGTCTTTGGGGGATTCGAGTGGCCTGAGTGGCAATACTGGCTACGAAACCCAGTATGGAACGCTGATTCTTTTCACTGGAGTCACGGCCTTTTTCGGTGCATGGAGCTGGATGTGGCGGTATATCAGCCCTGCACTGAGGTGTCTCCGCTGATTGTTCGGAACAGGCTTGGAGTATATGAGCAGACACTAAGCAGTGAAGGTTGGTGCATGGGTAGTTAAGGAGTGGATGAAAATTATGAAGCAACGTGAATATAGTGAAATGGTATCTATCTCTTCATGAAAATAATTCACTCAAACAATTCCTTGAAGAATCTCAAAGGCCAGACTTGAAATGGATTGGAATACCGCGTCACGTGCAGGTCTGCGGAGCTTTCGACTCCAAATGCGCGTTCTTCAACCCAGCCCCGACAACTTTCTTACATATACCTGCTGCAACCAAGGGCCCACTGCCCTATTTACAACAATGGCAACTGAGGCTGCACTCCAAGATCCTCTCCTGTCACTTCGACGTGCGATTGCCTCTGGCAACCTGCCAACGCCGACCACCTCGTCCGAGCTCTCCGACCAACCTGCCACTGACGACCTGGCCAAAGCCACACATCTCTACTTCACCCAACCAGTTCCTCAGACAATCGCTTTGTCAACCCCCACACGATTCATCTCAGCATCTACCAACTCCCCTGTCGACCTGCGCAGTATCCTTTTCGCCTGGCAGAACAAAGATGTCGCTATTCCCGAGTACATCGCCAAGGCGCAAGAATTCAATGAAGCGCTGAAGCAGCAGACGAAAGAGGGTGCCAAGGAAGAAAGTGTTCAGATTCTCATCTTCCTCGAGCGCCTCGATCTTTTCACCTGGCTAGAGGGTGCCTCCGACGACAGCGAACATATCAAACCCCTCGAGGGTGCTGCTGCCGCTGCTGAGGCGGCCGCCGCGGCTGCAGGTGTTGCGCAGGCCGATAATGCGGCCGGAATTGCCGCCGGTGCAATTGGCGGCGTCACATCCGTCCCCAGTGGAGCTGCAGGAGCCGCCCAGCCTGGAACTCAACTTGGTCGCCCACAAAAGCAGGTCGACCCTCGACTACAGGAGATTTACAATGGGGAGCGGAAGACCGGTGACCGCAACACAGTACTGCGGGGAATCAAGTCGACAGTGAGTTACTCTATCCAGTGATGCGATAGACCTTAGCAAGCTAATCCCCCACTCCCAAGGACTTCTCACATGTCCGCAAGAGCGCCGAATTATTCCTCGACCGCAACCGCAGTCGGCCGGGCCAGCCAAACGCCAAACCGGGCATCAAGGGCTCCATCCCGGCTCCATCAGCCGGCCTCTCGATGGCATCGCGCAAGTCGAGCTCCTCCCACTCCCGCCCCGACCCAATCATCCTAATCTCCCCTTCCGCCTCATCCCTCATCCGCATGTCGAACGTCAAATCCTTCCTCGAGGAAGGCATCTTTGTACCCCAGACCACCCAACACTCTCCAGCGCCACAGACGCCAACCTCGTGAAGCTCGAGCGACCGCTCCGCCTCAACGGCGACGCCTCGAACCCCGCGAGCGCAAGCTCCCGTGCCGGCGGCAAGCCCACCCGCCCAACCAAGTTCATCGTCGTGGACGGCACGACCAACTTCAAACCCGAGTACTGGAACCGACTTGTCGCCGTCTTCACTACCGGCCAGACCTGGCAGTTCAAGTCGTACAAGTGGTCTTCGCCGCCGGAGCTGTTCAAGCACGCCACCGGTGTGTATATCGGGTGGCGTGGTGAGGATGTCCCTAGCCAGGTTAAGGGCTGGGGTCGAGGTGTTGAGACTTTCGCTGTTGAGCGTTGGGACGAGAAGAATGGTGTTCACGGTGGTGGGCGGTGGCGGGATCGTGAGGTAGTGGAGGGTATTTGGACTGCTATTGAGGAGGGCATGAGACTTCGTGGATGGGGGAAATAAGTAGACCTTTTTCCTCTTTATTTCGGTCTCGGTTCCCTTTCTCGCTTTTTCCTGTCATCTTGTTCTCTCAATACCCTCAATTTTCTAAGAATATGATGACCATGGGCATTCAAGGCGCAGTTCTAGGCGTTGTGGTTGTCTTTTCTTTTTGTTCCTATCATGTTCTGTGTATGTATGGCTATCCATTTGAATGTTCATAGTAAAGACATTCTACCTAGGTAAAGATGAAAGATTATGTACTCCTTAGAAGATAGCCCTATCTAGTACAACTAAAACACAGGATCTGCATACATATCTGGGATCTATATTGACCTTTGGAAGATATGAGAATATAAGACCATGTTCATTGCAATTCTCGATTAAAGAATAATTTGACATACACAAGCAGACCAGAACTCACTCGCTGTGCCCGGATAGAACGATGCAGGGAACTTAAGGGAAGAAAAAGAAAAAGAATAGGAAAACGGAAATGGAGGAAAGAAAAGACAATGGAATCATATGACATGCTCAAATGAAAATCAGCAAAGAAATGCCGGAAAGATGAGAGTTGTATGGAAGAATAGAGGAAAGGAAAAGAGAAAAGAGGAAAAGGACATGCAAACGCCAGGAACTGATGCTCAGGAAAAAAGAAACCTCCAACCTGCCATGTTTTCAATGTCTTGTTTTTTCTGTTTTTCTGTTCTTGAGTCTTCCTCTTTCAACATTTCCACCCCAGAAGGGGAGATGGAAGATGCGAGGAAATAAAAAAGGAAACAAAAGCAATGCCATCCAAATATTACAAATATTTTCCAGTTCCGGCCTTCTCTATAACATGAGCCATCGATCATAACGTCTTTCGTTCGGAGTGGGAGAATCTCGTGACGAGTGGATTAAAAAAAAAAAATGGAAAAATGGATATGGCAGCCAGACAATGTCAAGAGACTGCGACTGGACTGCATGCGGAGAGAGAGTAAAAGAACTTCGTGGTCGGAAACGATCGTGACGAGATTGATGAAATCGGGTCTCAAAGGTCCACCGGATATTTAGATCCCCTTTGGTATAGGGTGGAGGGGGGTTTCCGTATTGGGGCCACAAGCATGACTGCGGGGTTGCAGTGTGGTCAGATTCGATCTGTGCCTTGAGGGCTTTCGAACGCTGATTGCTGGACTGCATGTGTTGAATGATTCGGGCTGTAATGCACCGAGGGGCTCATGAGGAGTCGGAATCCCAGTGATATGATTCATCTTCGAATGGGTTGCGGGCTACGTCAATGCTTGTGGGCGGTGGTTGTCAGGCGCGGGCAGAACGGCTCATGCTGCGTTCTGGGATTGAGGGCGGACGAGCTGGCGTGGGCGAGTATGAACGCGAGCCTCCCAAGATGTCTACATCATGTTCTTGTAGAACGACAGAGTATTTGGGGTCACGCAGGAACTTGGGGACAGAGTCGCTTGACATCAGCTTGAACACGGAAGTTTGCGCAAGCTCGAACAGGTGCACCACTTCTTGGAGACTCTTGAACATGGACTCGTCGTCTCCCACGGCCTTGGTCATGCGGCTGGCAAGGCTGTTGCGGAGCGCGTGGTCGATGTTCAGCTCACAGGGTGAGCCGGGAGCCAAAAACGCGTTGTACAGTCCATATGCTGCAGCCAAAGTTTCCCGCACCGAGTCAACCTTGTTAAATGTACCAATCTTCTCGGCCTTGTGGTAGTTGGTAGTGAATTCCGAGACATCGAGGTAGAAAGACAGGTTCTCCTCACACAGCGAGTAGCGGAGGAATTCACGGAAAAGCAGACGCAGAGCGGGATCCTGAAGGATATGGGTCAATCGGGCGTTATTAGAGTCGCGTGGCATACCACGACTGTCGTATGTCGGCGCAACCTCGCGGGTTTTCTCGCGTGCGATCCATCCACATACGCGCTGTCCACGCTCGGTAATGCCGTAGATGGCATACTTGGAAGGCTGGAAATGAACATTGGTCCCAACATCGGGGAATTGTTTGTCGTCTTGAATCATCGTGATCAGGCCGTACTTCAGGAACAGCTCGGAGATCAAGCAGGTCTCCCGGCGCTCAATAGTAGTCGAACAATCCATCAACCAGTCCACCGCGGCCTTTCCAGTGAACGTGTTACTATAAACTTTTCCATCTAGAAGCTTGCGCTCCCGAGCCACCTTCACACCAACGAGGCCGTTGGTGTAATCACTAAGCGAGTCCGAATCCGAGGTTGAAATGCTGCTCTTGATGTTCGGGCCATCCTGACCAGCAAAGCGACGGAAGATAACCTCGATCGTCGCACGATCATGGGACAACTTGTCGCTATCCGTGTCACGCTCTAGGTTCACCAGCTGCATGGTGTTGCGGGGCGACTCTAGTACATCCATCACGTGACGAGCGGTGATGCCATTCCGCTGGCAGAAACGCTGCAGGATGTTGATACCCTTCGGAGTGAGCTGGAAGAGGGCGCCCTTGAGCGGGAAGATCAAGAGCGCTTTGCCGTCCACAGATTCAATGAAGCGCGCATCGACAAACCGCTGGCAGACGGATCGGGCCATTTCCTTGGCCATGGAGAAAGTGGTGGTCGTGGTGGTCGTAACTATGCGGGATGGGTCCTTTGGATCGGGCATGCGGTTGGACTGAGAGAACTTGAGCGAGCCCAGGTTGTTGATGGCCTCTTCTGAGGTGAAAGTGTGGTCATATCTTGTGAAACGGACGCGGTGAGAATCCAACTTCAAGCTGACCATCAATGTGGAGAACAAGTCCATGAAATCCTGCGCAAATCAGCCCAATTGTTCCAATGTTTCCTTGCCCGTTGCCGTTGAAACCTACCTTGGTGAATGGGCGCTCATCCTCCGTCATGCGCAATAACCTTGACGACGTCTGGTGCATTTTGGGTGCGGGCGGGGAAGAGCGGGTTTCGCTGGGGAGTGTAGGAAGACGCTGAATAGTCAAGCGACGCTTTAGAAGCGAATTGGGAGGATTGTCGACCACGGCCGGAGAAGAAGGTCGCGAAGTTCCCGTCAATTGCACGTAGGTGTCGCCGTCGAATGGTGGGGTCACAGGGGTTTCGGAGAGCTTATGCGGTTTCGACAGGCTACCGTAGGAAGTCGAGGAACGTAGTGTACTTCCAGACAAAGTAGCGAGAGCGTAGGTCTTTTGTGCTAAGGCAGCGAAAGAGCGACGATTGCGGGAGATAGTACCGCTAAAATCAGAATCAGGAACTGAAGGGAGAGAATCTTCTCGGCTGTGGCTCCTAGTTTGGGTTGGCATTGAATGGTTTTGAGTCTTCGGGTTGAACCAGAGGGAGAAAAAAAGTGGGTTATGCCAAACACCTGATACCGGAAAAAAACATGGGAATTTTTGCAATAAAAAAAAAAAAGAAAAAAAAAATTTTAAGAGTGGACTGGCTAGCTCTCAAAGGTAAAAAAAAAAAAGGAAAAATGGGTAAGGGAAGAGCAAGGAAATTATACAATATGACAATTTCCTATTAGTATTATTTTTCTCTGTTTTTTTTCAAATCAATTTCAATAGAAAAGAAAAGGAGGAGTAGAAGAAAGATGGGTCCAAAGGGGGGGGAGAAAGCGGGATTGAAGGGAAAATAAGAAAATAATTATTTTTAAAAATAAGAAAAAGGAAAAAGAAAAGAGAAGAAAAGAGGGAAAAGAAAAGATAAAAAGATAAAAAGATAAATTAAAAAATATGGAAGACCATTCGGCCTGCCAGCCTTTGATCCACAACCCACGCGTGAGCCCCGAAAGAGTTTGGCCTGATGCATCCAAACAACGTGGGCCATGAAGATCGGTGGGTTCTGGGGTCTGCTATTACAATACCATACCGGCATAGTACTTGTTCTTCATCTTTATTTAATAAAATACTAAACGCAAGGGGAAGACTGAAGAAGACCATACATGGCTGGGTTATGTGAATAACCCTGGATACTAGGTACAGAGTATCGAGGTAATAGTCCACAGATAGTCCTACCTAGGAATACTCATAGTTTGAATAATTCCAAATCAATCTATGGAGTCAACCAAGGAAAGAAACCATTAATTAAAAGAATGGATCCCCAATGATTTCATTGATTTTTGCCGAAGTTCCAAGGTCGACCGAACAGATCCGATTGTAATACTGTGGTACTGGTAATACCTGTAATCTACGCATTCATTGAAACATTTTGTTGCATACGGAGTACCCAACCCGTTTCATTGTTGCCCCCTGTCTGAGTCGCAACTACTACCTTACTGACTTGGGACTAGTTCTTTGTTTTTTGAACATCTGCTTCGGAGTATTAACGGGTGAATCCAGATCTGAATCTTCAGTGTGTTACCTATCTATATGATATCCCTGATTTTTTGGTGTCTTGAAATGATCTTCTCTAGGCTTCTATGAAATTAATACTACAACATAGAATTTTATTTGGGGTGTGTAAGCTGTGTTCTGACAAAACAGGTAAAGATGTAAAGCTTGAGCCCACGTGGGCATCCTTACACTTCCCGAAATCAAACGTTATATTGATATTATCAAAATCAAAATCTACCATGGAAGTCCTGTTAACCTTATCGAGTGGCAAATCCTAGGAGCCATCAAGATATGACGGGACTTGTTTACGCTTAACCCAAATATTGGCCCACTCTAAACCCAACGTGGTCGGAAAATTGATCAGAGAGTTGTTATCGGTCTGAACTGTTGCCGAAGAGTGGGCAGTATTTACATATTTACAGTGTCTCTAGTACAGAGTACGGAGGGGCTATTCGAGTACAACATACAACATAGAGAATCGGAAACTTCCTCATACACTGTACATCACATGTCGCCATCGGGCCAAAACCCCCACTTCCCTCCGATCGCTCTGAATGGTGGGGCAATTATGTTGTAGGAACCTTGGAACGCTTTTCACACTTCTTTCCCTGTTTCATAACCGAACACTGCGAGTGTTTCGTCTCGTCGCTAATCCTAATCCGGTGTTGTCGTATATAGGCTTTGATCCTGAAACTACATATATTGTACAGCGCGTAAAGGAGACAAT